GTGTGTGTGTGTGTGTGTGTGTGCGCGTGCATGCGTGTGTGTGTGTGTGTGTGTGCACGTGTGGAGTCTGTCCTGCGAGACAGCGGAGTAATTACAAAGTCGGGCTAATCGAGAGCGGCAGACCGTCCGTGGCGCTTCACGATCACGGTTTGCTAGCAGTTGTGCAGTTTTGGTTTTGATTCCCCCTTGGACATGAGCCATTTTAAAACAGATTTGTAAACGCACGTATAACTGTTACAACTTGGTAAGCATCGTAACCATAGACATTAGGGCCTTTTTCCCCCCAGTTTTATTTTGTTATTGTCTTATAGTCCTTTCATGAGAGTCTGTTGTCTGGACTGTGTCTCTCTCCCTCTGGAACGTTCTGAAATCTTCTCTGTGTCATAATAGTTATCGTAGTAAACGTCCCAAGAGCAACGGAAAGGAAGGCGGCTGCTCGTGTTTCCTGTTGCAGAGTTTGAAATCTGTTGTTTCCAGCTGCCGAAATCTATTTTTTCCCCCTGGCTTTCACTTTATAAATGTGGGGGGGGGGCATGGAAGCCCATGACTGAAACCGCACCCGATGTCTCCCACCTTCGGGAGAGACGGAGTGTGTGTCTTTGTTTTTCGTGGTATTTTTTGGCTTTGGGAGGATTCTGAAAGATTAGTGGGGATGCCAACTCCAGCATTAAAAGCCACAGGTGTTTGCAAATTTTTTTTTTTTTTTTAGTTTACCTTCTCCCTGATCGTCTGACAAGCAATAACCATCACTGTACAAGAGAAACCCTTAGTTTGTGTGTGATTCAAACTTGTGCATTTGGGGACCTTGTTTAAAACCGTCACCCCGGCGCAAGGTCACCCAGAAATCCTACATTTTCCTCCCGTTCGTATTCTATTTTTCGATCTCACGTGTCCGTGCGCTTCGTTGCAGGGCTTCTCCGTCTCGCATACGGACATTTGGGGCTGCGCCATTCTGCGTTCGGGCAGCTGTCTTGTGCTCTGTAGGACGTTCGGCGGGGTTCCCCAAATGCCGGTAAGCACCCCGCAAGTTGGGACGACAAAAATGTCTCCATACATTGCCGAATGTAACCTGGGCGACAAAACCACCCGCTGTTGAGAACTGCTGACCTATCTGGAGTTTGCTGTATATGGCTTGGGGAAAGATTCCAGTAATTTTTCTCAATGTGGCAAGTTGGTTTCACTAATACTAAAGAACCCTTTTCAAATCTACTTACGACGCCACGGCTGTGACACACCAAGTCCCCGTATCTTCGTGAACCTGTCGTTGCCTGTGGTAGACCCTCTCCCTGGGCACAGAGCCCCCTCGCCTCCGAGTGGGGCAGAAGAGGAGACTGTCCCGCCAGGTGCCACCCAGCTTCCCGGACGACGGGCCTGCGGGAGCGTCCGCGCATTCGCCCGCATGTTTCCCGGGCCTCGCAGGAACTCTGGAGAGATTCCAGATTCCTCACCCCTCGGGCGTAAGGTTCGCCTTCCTCTCTCTGGAAGGTGGCGGGGTCTTCGCTTTCTTTCTGGGGCTGTGCAGTTTCACCCTCCGTTTTTGGATCGGCCTTTGGTCTTTTTTTTCACTCACTGTGCTCGGCACCCAGTGTGCCTTTCAACCCAAAGCTCGTCTCCTCCGTCCAGGGAAGTGTCACTGTATTGTCCAGTTGGTCACCTGCTCCCTATTTTATTCCGTTCCCTCCCCTCTCTCCCTCTCTGGACCACCTCGAATAATCATTTTTCTTCTCTTTCTGTGCTTTTATCTTCTGTTCATACGTACTTTTCATCTTTGAGGCTTTTCATTTCTATCCTATTTTGACGCTTCAGGCCCCTTCTGCCTCCGACTGTGCTTTACGAAGGCAGATAGCACCCTTTTCCTGTCTCCTGGACACAGCGTCTTTTGCTGTCTCCCCGAGGGCAGCGATGAAAGTTTATCTGAAGTTTTCTTTTGCAGGCTGCGTGGCCTCAGTCTTCTCCGCGCTCCTTTTACGTTCCTGTTTGTTATCTCTCTCTTTTATGTTAGAGATTTCTCTCAAGTATCTGACAGTTATTTCTTGACCATTGATATTTGTCTTGTTAGGACCTAGTGAGGAAAGTTGGCGGAAGCTCTGGGTGAGAGAGGGGCTTGTAAACTTCGAGGCAGCCTTCGTGGATGCAGACCTGGTCACTGGGGTCCCCCAATGTCAGGTTCCACCTCCCCCACCCGCTGGATGGGCCTCTCTCTGCACATCCGGAAGCCCGGCTGGTGAGCCAGCAAGGAGTCCAGGGTGGAGGGTGCAGACCCTGCCCCCAGCCTGCAGGGGCCCCACCCTGCCCACTGAGTGTGGCCTCCCTGCCCTTCCTGAGTTCCTGACAGAATGGTGCCACCGAGTTTGTGATGCGGCAATAGGTGCCTGAAAACCCACTGGGTGGGCCTGGGAAGGACAACTCGGGGACAGCCTCCTGGGGGGTCATCGCCCTGACCGCCTGCAGCCTCTTTCTGCAGCAGGGTTGGCTGGGCAGGCGTTCCCATGGGATGTGCAGGTTGGCATGCCTGGGCCACCCCCAAGGCCCTCCCTTAAACCTCTTTACCAGCAACCCCAACGCCAGCCCTCCAGTCTTGCCTCTTGCGAGTTCCTGGATGCCGGCCTCTGCCAAGGACTGAGGATGCTGACCTCGGCCTTCTCTCCCCGGGCAAAGTGGACAGTGCGAAGTGCCATTCGAAGTCCTGCCTGGGGACAGCTTCCTTCTCCAGAGCCCTTCAGGGCTGCCCACAGGGTCCGCAGCCGCCAGCCACGGGCACAGAGCCCCGAGGGAGCCATGCCCCTGGGGAAGCCCCAGAGGCCCGAGGGCTCGGTGCGGCAGCTGCCGTCTCTGTGGAGGTGTGACCACTCCCGCGGGTTCCCGGCCTCGGGCCGCGCAGCAGGTCCCGCAGTAACCGCACCCGGAGGCAGTGCCCCGTGGAACACCACCGCTCACCTGGGAGTTCTAGGGCAGCTCAGACATTCCTCTGCCGTCCCTTGATCGGGTGTCCCCAGGGCCCAGAAACAAGTCAGGAGCTGTTCTTGGAAAGAACACTTGGGCTCCTGCTGTCTCCCTGGGGGACGTTTCTCCACCCGAGTTTCAGATTCCCGAGGAAAAGGCTTCCAGTTGGTGAGGCTGGAGACAGTGTGCGAATGCCCGCTGGCCAGACGGTGCACGGAAACAGAATTCTGACGCACAGCCTGCGTCGCCCTGCCCGGGAAGCCAGCCTCTTGCCCACAGGAACCAACCAGGAGGCCGGCCGGCCTGGGCTCAGTGGAAGTCAGACTGTCCGTCTCCGGGAACAATCCAGGAAGCCAGGCCATAGCCCCGTGACATCGCCCAGAACGGCCAGGACTTCACAAATTTACCCCCTTTTGGAGCTTAGGAGCAACCAGAGAAAGCCCAGTCCGCTCCCCTAAGCAGTGACGGGGGACACCCGCTGCCAGTCAGCTCGCCCGCCCTCGGTTTCCAGGCCGACAGCCTCCCAGCAGGGCACCCCTGACGTCTCCTCTCCCCCCATGAAGCTCTCTGCTCCTGCCTGAGTCTCTGCCAACTCAAGTGACAGTGGCCGACCCCCTCGCTGTCACAAGCTCTGCGGCAACAGCGTCCTTGCTCGCACCTGAGGGTCTCCGTTTATTTTCAGAGGCAGCTGCCCAGCGAGCGAGGAGGGAAGTGGAGTTGTGCCCGCGTGGGAGAAGCGTCCACCATCCCAGACGTCGCGGCCCGGTGGCGGGGAGGCTGGTGCTGGGGTTTCGTCGCTGGCAGCTTCACACTGTGTCCCGTCTGTCCCTCACCCTCTCCACCCACAGCGGCTGGGGCACAGGGGCGTCTCCTTGTTTTCCAAGGGGGAAGCCGCCCCGTGAGCACCTGACGCACTCAGCTGGTCTCCTGCTGGACCCTTACGCCGGTTCAGTCTGTGCGACCACAGTCTGAAGAACCACCTGGTTTCTGCCTCATTCACACATCAGCAAGTTACTTAAATTTTTTTTTTTTAAATATTTTTATTGATTTCAGGGAGAGGGAGAGGGAGAGGGAGAAACATCCATCAGCTGCCTCCTGCACGGCCCCCACTGGGGACTGAGCCCACAACCTGGGGCGTGTGCCCTGACCGGGAATCGAACTGTGACCTCCTGGTTCATAGGTCGATGCTCAACCACTGAGCCACGCCTATCGGGCCACTGAAACTTTGTGACTCAGTTTCCTCAACCACAAATAGAGCTAGGTATCTACTGAACGGTGGCAAGCACTAGGAAGGTGACATACCCCAGCCAATCTCATCACACCTGGCACGGACCAGGCGTTCAGTGTTAGCAGCTCCAGTTGTTACCTGCAAGTGTGGCTGGAGGCAGCTGAAGGATCATCACCTTTTCAGTTTGGACCCACACTTCCAGAACCCAAAAGCCCTCCCCCAGGCAATGTCCGTTCCAGCCTCTAACCCAGTTCCTCAGCCTCCTGGGCAACACCCCGGGAGCGCGGGCGCTGCTCTGCGCACCCAGGACTGCCCGGTGGTGGCCGAGCGTTCCGTCCTGACGCCTGGCCCACGATCGCTCAGACACCACAAACAGTCCCAATGCGGGGCCTCCGAGCTCCTGCCCACAGCCATCTGTCCCCTGCGGGGCCCCTCAGCTCCCGCTGTCCAGGACTCATGTCCTCTGGCAAGCGGCCTGCTGGGACGGGAAAGCAGGGTTACGCACTGAGCCCTTTCTCTTGAGACTGGGGCCCTCCAGGGTAGGGACCACGGTTATTTCTCTTTCTCTTTTTTCTCTCTTCCTGGAGCTCAGCAGACTGGATGAATGCTCCGGGAAGACACCCTGATTGTGTTTTAGGATTTCGAGTATCCTAGCCGGCCGTCACCCCCCGAGTCTGACAAGTGAGGGTCCCACAGCCCCCCTGCCCAGGAAACTCAATGCCCACAGCACCGCTTTTGTCTTAGAAACTTTATTGGTCCTGGGGGAGGGGAGGCAGCAGCCCCTGCCTCCTGCTGAGGGGGCCACGGGCCCTCACTGTTTCCCATTGCCATTGATGGGGCGGTTCACATGCTCGGGGGAGGCCAGGAAGGCCTTGAGCTTGGGCCGGGAGCTGAGGCGAGCCACGTAGGAGGAGAGCAGGGGGAAGGCGTCCAGGCAGCCGGGGGCCAGGACCTGGTGGTTCAGCAGCAGGTCCAGCAGGTTGTAGTCAGTGAAGGAGATCTGCAGGGCAGGGGCCGGGGGTCAGCAGGTGGGAGCAGGCCAGGGGGTCGGGGGGCAGGGGGCCAAGGG